TCCAAAAGTTTCTATGTTATATTTTTATAAGCTTTGTAAATGCTTTCTTTTAAATTATATGTGAGTATAAAAATATGGCAAGTAGCTGGTTCATTTCACAAACCCTTTAAGACCACACACAACCTATTCAGTATTCTACCCTTCAAAGTTCAGCTTATATACCCCATTTGGCTACCACCTAGTCTCTGGCTTCCTCCAAACCATTTTCCATTATTATCATTCTAGAATGAAGCGCCCTGCCAATCTGAAAATCTTCCCATCCCATTCATGTTCATTCACTAACCTACTTACAAGAAATTCATTCTACCTCTAGTATTTAACACTCTATAAAGTCACTGTTCTGACATGAACAAGTTATTCAATAACTAGTTTTTCTAAAACCAATCCTTTTACCCACTCTCTTTATAAAACCTGACTTTCTCCTGGTGGTAAATCCTTTCTAATCCTTTACTTCATTTCATAGACTCACAGGTTAAAGAAGTAATGTGTCTTATCATACTTCTCAACCACTTTTCTTTCCCCTTTTCAGGTCTACCTTCTGCTGAAAAGATAAGTTAACACCATACAACAAAGTATGACTTTTATGTTTCATGCTAGATATTATTAAAAGTAGTTTACATTTATTTAATCTTCTATAATACTATTCTCATTCTCATTTAGACGTGAGGAACCAAGGCAAGGAACAGTAGAATAATTTTCCCAAGCCCATAATGCTGACAGTAATAACATGGATTTGATCCCAAGCAGCTTGGCCCAAAATCTATGCTCCAAACCACAGTATATGCTGTTATTTCATTATATGCTGCCATGGTCCACTGGCAAGTGTTTATGTAGTTTCCTTTATGACTTTAGCACCTTGGTCATTCAATATGCTTCTCTTCTTCCCCATTCCATCATATCCTTTGAACTCATGATCTTATGCCATTCATTCACAATAACATCTTTTTACTATGTAAACTCAATTGTTCTTCTATTCCAGTGCATTTAATTTATACAAAGTCACTCATAAGCAAGATCATGGTTTGGCTCCTCTCAACTCTTACAATTGCTTCACCTCTAAAATTCAAAACATCATTTTCCTCTCTGAATGAAAAATAATCCTTCAAGCTCTTCATTTTCACTGCTGTTCTCAAACCCTTGAATCCCTCCCAGTTACCCAATCCCATTGCTCCCATACCCACTCTATTTGCCTTTTTATTCAGTTTGGACATTTTCAAAAATATACTTAGAAATGCTTCTTAGAAGTCGCCGCCATCCTGTTACAAAATTTGTTATTTCTACCTAAGTGAAAAACATAAGGACAATATAGCAAATTTTTCAAAAGGTAAACTTTTTTAATTTTAAAATCTGTCCTTGGTATCTGGGATTATTGTCTTCCTTTTTATGTGTCAAAATACCTTTTCCTTTATGAAATGATAAAAGTAAACAGAGGGGTGTGGGTGTGTGTGTGTGTGTGTGTGTGTATACACACATATATGTATGTATGTGTATTTATATATATATATATATATATACACACTAAAATCATAAAAATATATACATAAGTATATAGAGAGGGAGAGGAGTCTTTTTGTTTTTTGATATCCTCATTTAGCAAAATGTAAAATGTATTCTCAGTCCTCAAATCTAGGCCTTTCTCCCTGCTTTTTTTTTCTTCTTTTTTTTTTTTTGTATTGGTCATCAAAATCCAATAATTTAGGAGTAATTACACTAGACTTCTTTGTCCAATGGTTGGTGCTGTTATTTATACCTTAACCATCTCCAGTATCTCATCTATTTTCTTTGCTGTCTTGCCTAAACTATCCTGTATATTAAAAAGCAATACAAAAACAAACTCTAGGAAGTCACTGACATTGAGATAAAGATAATACTTTGAAGAATTGCATAATAAGAAACCTCCTTTCACATGAGAATAGACTTTATCAACACTCAATTTAAGCAGTGTCATATAGCCTATAATTTATCATTGTATTCATTTGAATCAAAATACCAGATGCTTTGCCGAAATTAAAACACAGCATTCATGAAACTTTTTATAGTTTGCTCAAGTTTCATTACCTCTCCAAACAAAACGGGAGACAGTCTGCTATCCAAGTTTTATAAGGCAATGTCTATTTATAATATATATTTGACAATGATAAATATTTAATTAGTTAATACATATGTCCATCATGTGAGTTGAACTATGTCCCCCCCAAAAGATGCTGAAATCCTAATCCCTGCTATCTGTGAATGTGCATAATTTGATATTGGGACTTTGCAGATATAATTAGTTAAAATGAATCATATTGGATTAGGGAAACTCAAAATCTAAAGACTGATGCCCTTAAAAGAACATGTAAAAACACAGATACACATGGGAGAATGCCATGTAAGAAGACAGAAATTAGACAGAAAATTAAAATTAAAAAGACAGAAATTAGAGTAAGGTGTCTATAAGGAGTCCCCTAAAATTAGGAAGAGGCAATTAAAAACTCTCCAAGAATCTTCAGAGGGAATATGGCCCTACCCACTTCTTGATTTTAGACTTCTAGCCTCCAAAATTGTGTGAGAATAAATTTCTTTAAGCATCTCAGTTTATGGTAGTTTGTAAAGACTACTACTCAAAACTAATATGAGCTATTAATAGGAATGAGAAAGGAGATATATTATCCAGGCTACCATTGAGTTTCAGAAATAAAAGTACAATCTATCTACAAATTTTTATTACTAGACTATACTGTATTAGAATACAGTAAGAACAATTTTATAAAATAAATAGCTTAGTCTCTCTTTACAGTGGATATGCCAGTTAAATATTATGCTTTAAAGTTATTTACTTCAAAATAATTCAAATAATCTAGTAACTTTCTTAGTAATAAAAAGATGTACTTGGGAGACAAGCAAGATGGTACACAGTAATAAGAAGATTAACTTGGAAGACAAGTAAGATGGTACACATGTAAGTTTCAATCCAAAAAAACCTAGATTGTCATCTACATACTTACTAGTTCTGTGAGAAACTTGCAAAGGCCTCAATGTTTCAGAATCCTCTCAAAAATTTTACATCTGGGCTGGGGATATAGCTCAGTTAGTAGAGTGCTTACCTTGCAGGCACAAGGCCCTAGGTTCAATCCCCAGCACCACACACACACACACACACACACACACACACACACGCACACACACACACACAATTATTTCAAAAGGTAGGGAGGTTACCTCATAATTTTTAGTTAGGATAAAATGAGGCATTTAGTCAATGTTTTCTAATTGGAAAAAAAGGAAAAACAAGATATTTGAGATTTAGATGCTAAACTCAGAGGAAAGTAGGACAATATATGAAGTAAGTAGATAATCTCATAGAGAACTATATAAACTAATAGAATAAAAGTTGAGGAAAAGTGACTGTAAAGTCACAGCAACAGAAATATGGAAGTACCTAGTGGCAATAAAAGGAAGATCAATACAAAAAACAGCTTGACTAAAGTAGCTACTTTAAAAAAGTATACAAAATCAAAGTAAGGAGGTATAAGGAACTTAAGAATGAGGAAAGAAGGTCAACAATGCAATAAGTATATTCACAATAAAATGAATGTTCTTAAGAGCAAAAGCATGCTTTTAAGACCAAGAAGAGGAGCAGGAACCTAGACTGCAATAAAACTACATGAAGAAGTAGAAAGGAATAATCTGTGCCTTAGAAATTAAGAGAGAAGAACAGTTCAAGAAAGTAACTGGAAAAGTTTAAGGTCATATATGTACATATAATGAAGAGTGTTTAGACAATTTGGAGAAGTCAGAAAGAAATTTTTAAAAGTATCTTCCTCAGTCTATATTTTGATTAAGTACCAAGGTAACATTTGCAAGTAAAAAAGTTAGAAAGTGGAAATAAAAAAATAACAAAGAGTTACCATTTTCCGGGTGTTAACCCTATAGCAGGCATTGTCTAAGTACTTTGTTTTAACACATTTAATCCTACAATCTCCTTACAAATTAAGTATGACTATATTATCATTCCCATTTTACTTAGGAAACTAAGGCATAGAGAGGTTAAATAATGGCTCACTATGATTGTAAAGGACAGAAATAAAATAAACACTGGAAAATTGTTAAATAAAATTTACAATGGGCACAGACTAAGGTAAAAGTAATGTCTATTAAAAGTGAATTTCATTTCTTCCATTTCAGTCATCAACTCCCAGAAAAATTTGTTTTTTACTAATTCGTTGTTATCCTAGTTCCAGATTGATTTCCTTCGAGAAATCTTGAAAACTTGATATATTTTTAAAATTTGTGCTATGAAGCTATGACAATACTCAGTTATGTTCTAAAGTTTAGCATCAAACAGAAAAGGGGAAAAATGGAATTTCTGTTTCTCATGTTATTCTTCTAAGAATACTGGAGTAATTGCATTAACTTAAAGATATCAATAAACAAATTAGGCAAATTAGTCCTTCAGTGAACATGTTAGACCCATGTCTTTATAATTACACTAAAATTCAATACAACAGGTTAAGCAATTAATTGAAATACTAGGCTATAATTTTAAACAAAAGAAAAATTTTGTTAACTGTATCTTTAATTGCTTCTGAAAGCCAGCCTTGCAACATTTTAACAAACATAATTTACCTTAAATTTTGAGGGCACTAAATCCTAAAAGTAAAAGTTATTTAAACGTGTTTTTTCATCTCAAACAATGATCAACTCTATACTACGATAACCACTGCTTTTCTCTACACGAGTTGACAAATTACCTTCCCAGGTTTCTTGAATTGAGAAAAGTAGACGCTCTGGGACCTGTCTCCCCTAGCATCTTGCCTTGTCCTGCCCCTTTCTCATTTTCCAAAGATGCGTGCGAAGGCGAGGCTAAAACACTCTTCTTTCTTAAGAAGAGTACCGTGCTACCAAGAATGTAGTATTTATTTGAGAGTAGGGAACCAGAAACCCTATAAAACTAGGGACACTATGAGGCTGGTTTTGAGGAAGCGGGACTCTATTTGCCTGGGGACGCAAGAAGTCACCTGGCACTGTGAGAAGCAAGGAGTCAGGGTTGGAGCTATCAAGGAAGCACCGCAACTACTTCTAACTGCAAGAAAGCTCGAAGACACCAGGAACAGAAAGAGCGGAGCTCCTAGTCACAGCGCTGCCCAGGGTCCTGCCAGTAACGCCCCCGGGAGAAGTGGAGAGGCTCTTCGATCTGGCCTGCTCTGCAGAAAGAGAAGAAGACAGGCACCTAAACTAACGCCAAGCTCTCAGTCTCCTTAACCGCATTCATGCCCAAGCGGCCCTGAAACAAGCAAGGGAACACCACGCAATGGGGTTTCAATATTTTACCTTGTGTTACGGTCCCAGTCGACCGCCATGTTTCACAGAAGCCCGGGCCGCCGGGGCTCCCGTGTACCCGGAAATATCGCGAGAACAAAAGCGACTATCACCACTGAAAACGTCAGAAGGGAGACCATGTGGAGTTCTCGCGATAATTCCTGTGCTTACGAATTGTTTGGTGAATCAAGAGGTGTGGTCACGGTGCAAGGGGCGTGCCTAAACTGAAAAGAGACGGAGACGCGTTTTTGGTGTAATCGCTTGACCAATCCGGAATCTCCTGCCAGAAAAGAGAGGTTGCTTTCCACTACTGAACGCAACAGACCTCAGTTCTGGTGAGAATTTTGGACGCAGATTATACCTAGCAATATTAACGCGTAGGATTCCATTCTCTGCGTGGTCTGTGTCCCTTGTCTTTGCGTTCTTATCGCCCCCCCTCCATCAGGAACACTTGAACCTTTCAAGGCATGGCTAATGTTTTAAATTCGTTCAGTGTTTTTAAAGTTTTCTACAATATAAATTCTGTAAAAAAAAAAAAAAAAAAAAAAAAAAGAAAAAGCACGCCTGACTTCCTCACGGCCTTCGCCAACATCTGTTCTTCCCTTAAATATTTGTTCAGAAAGAAAATTAATGATTCATCATTTCCTATCGCTTCATAGTACAGTAAGTAAGAAAGGGGCGGGTGGTGGGAGAAAGAGTAATTAGGAACTGCTGGAGAGTAAGCCTGGCCCGGGCCCCTTTTTACCCATCTTGTATCAAATGTTACAAGCAAACTTTGAAATTTTAATTTTCTGATTAATTGACCAAAAAAGGCTATCGAAAGCCGAATTGCAACTGATACACAGCACTATTTTATTTAAATGTTTTATTTGCCTTCTCATTTAATCCTAACACTCCTGTAAAGTAATACCCTTATTTACTTGTTTGCTAATGATAAGGCGTTTGAGTTAAGAAGTAGCAGGCATAGTTCACAGTCAGCTCTCTGCTTCTCTCAAAACTGTCTCATGTAGTGAATTAACTTTTACTGAACTATGAAATCTTATTACATTGAAAGTTTCCCCAAAGAAGGGCAGATGAAAATTTCTAATGAGACATTTCTATTTCAATAATTTCAAGGTAAAAGGATTTAAAGTTTCCACTTCCTTCACATTTAAGAAGAAACATTTTTTAAAGGGTAAGATCATAGATTTGAAGCAAGGATTTTCTAGTTAAAATTCCAGTTCAAAAACTAACTTTAGGGCTGGGGATGTGGCTCAAGCGGTAGCGCACTCGCCTGGCATGCCTTTGGCCTGGGTTCCATCCTCAGCACCACATACAAACAAAGATGTTCAGTCCGCCGAAATCTAAAAAATAAATATTAAAAATAAAAACAACTAACTTTATGTGGGGCATATTATTTCTTCTTTGTCTCCAATTCCTCTTCTGTAAAATGGGTTATTATGAGGATTAAATGAGTTAATATATACCTAAAATGCTTTATCTTGGCTATAAAGACGTCAGCCATAAAAGGTCCTTCCTCACCGCGCCCCCCACCCCCACCTTTTGTGGGTCTAAGACTGGATGGGCTCTTGCTTGGATGGATGCTGGAATTTTTTTACTTAAATACCTCCGGATCCCTGGAGTTCAGAGTAATCAACTTTTGCATAACAACTACCCCATGAAATTTGGGTTTCCCAGTATAGCAAAACTAATTTGACCCTTCTATTTAAAAAACAAAACAAAAAATAAAACACCATTATCTTATCTAACAAGACTAAACTATTTTATCTGAAAACTGAAACCCTGCTGGACTTTGTTTTATTTTATTGGTGCTGAGGCTCAAATCAAGGATCTGTGGAAGCACATGCTCTGCCACTGAACTTCACTTGAACAGAACTCAACTTTAAAGAGAGGTTATCAGTGAAATTATATTTGGAAAAAATTTTGTTTTAAAAGACAAACATTCTAAGGTGGCACATGCCTGTAATTCCAGCAGCTCAGGAGGCTGAAGCAAAAGGATCATGAGTTCAAAGCCAGCTTCAGCAAAAGTGAGATCCCAAGCAACTCAGTGAGACCCTGTCTCTAAATAAAATACAAAATAGGGCTGGGGATGTGGCTCAGTGGTTGACTGCCCCTGAGTTCAATCCTGGCTAGCCCCACCCCCAATTTTTTTTATTAAGTATTACCTACAGAAGATAGATTTTAGACTATTCCAAAACCACGTTTTCGTGACTTTTTTTTTCCTTCTCCATAGTTTGAGTAAAAGTATTAGCAAGTAAGAAGCAAAACTAACATATGTCCACAAACACCTCAAAGTCAGTATCTCCCAAGTGGATTGTATAAATTATCCCAAAATCTTGTCTTCTCCTCTGTGCCTAGAAAATATCACCATAAATCTCAAGTTCAGGTTAGAATCCCACATCTCCTCCTTCCTCTCTATAGCTGCCAATCCCAATGGCCAGTCATTTATCCATTGAGACTCTCCTACCCTCATACTAAACACCAGGACCTCATTACCTCTTTATCCATAGGTGGTTGTCAAGTTGTATTCAAATTATGTATTTACATTTTCAAATATTGTAGTTTACATTTCTGAATCATTTTTTCTATATGCCAACTTGGGAATTGAAAGTCTTAAATTACTTTTTCACAGAAGAAGTTTATATGTTTTATGTCCACTGATGGATACTTTTGGTCCATGCACAGAGGCACTACCTGCCATCTAATACCTCTGTTTCAGTAATCATCCACTAATATCTGTAAATCATTTATGTACAATAGTTCAATATGGTTAATAGGTTCTGAGGGACTATAGGTCAATCAGTTGAACCTGTAGCCTTACCACTCTTCAAACAAATATTCATTGCATACCTTCTATATGACAAGAGATATGCTAAGTAGGAAGTAATGACAATGTGGATACCCTTGCCCATGGAATTTTTTCTATATTGGGGTAAATAGGCATCAAATAAGTAACCCCACAAAAATATATGACTGTGGTTGGTATTATTTACCTTGATAGTTATTAATAATGTGTATTCAGTATATTTTACTATAAGTCTCTATGATTTTTCAACACAAAAATAATCAACAAATACATATTCCATGCCAACAGTTCTCTATAATGATGATAACATTCAAATGAATGTTCAAAGAACATTTGCTTTTCAAATATTCTTTCATTGTTCATTTTTGTATCTCATGTATTTTATTTATTTAGTATCTTCTATGATCTCTATATATTTAAATAAATTTTCACTCTTGATATTTCTTAAAAGTTTTAAATACATAACTAATTTTAAGCTAAATGCAGATGGGAATCTTTAAATAAGTGCCTAAGGCATAATAAATACTTTAATGTACTATAAAGTTCAAAAGAAGCAACACATATTTAGTTCACATGCTGTAGGCATATTTTAATTTCAGTAACATGATACAAATGCTCAGAAATCTTTTAACACCTGTCCAAACTCAAACACCTTTGTGATCAGCCAGGTAACATTTTTCTTCCCAAACCTTTCAAATTCAAACTTCTTTCAGACATTGTACTGTCAGCTAGAAATACTAACATGTTCTCCCAGACTAGCAGGCTTTATAATATTCTTTATAGCAATCACTACCTCATTTTCACCTGTTCATGCTAATATTTATAAATTAATGAAACCCAGCTAATCTTGGAGGAGACTAAGACAAGTACATTTTTATGTGTGTCTTCATATATTTGACTTTTATGTAAATGACAAATTGTCAAGAAAGAAATCCAAGATGCTATGAGTGAATAATAAGAATCAGTCTGCAGCTGATAGAAAAATTGATATTTTTCTGTTTTCTGATATGATTAATTAACTTCAGTGTTGGACTAAAATGGCCAAACATTTACATTTTATATCTGAGGAATATTCTTAAGGCAAAATTTTGTATATTGTAAAAAATACATCAAACAGCTAAATAATAGAAATAAAGGCCTTCCTAGTGATCAGAGTTCAGATGCTTTGATGAAAGATGATGAATAAACATTATTATTTTATAAGAACTAACTTGACAAATATTTCTTTTAACAAGTTGTTTTTCTAAGTAAAAGTCAAGTTAACAGTAGTGAGGTCTCTCTCCTTTATGGGTCTTGGGAGGAAAAAAACCCAATAATCAATAGACATTTTCCTTGATCTATACAAACTTTCTCATAAACCGGTCTTTGGAGGAGTAGACTTGGTCAGAAATTTATTTTCTTCTAATGGAGGATTGTTAGGATGCGGGAACCCCGCTAAAAATCTGACTCCTTGCTACAGACCACAGATTGGACCTTCTGGTATCACATTGTCAATCTAAATAGTGGGCGAAATTCTCCAAAGAACAATGCTATTTATTTAGGAAAACAGCACTGCAAAGGGAATTCATGTGCTATAGAAAACCTTAGGCATGGGAAACTCAGACAAGAAGATGATATTAAAGGCTAAAGCTACTGGGATACAGAGTTCACTGGTCTGGAGACATTAGCTAATTAGTGGAGGTACCCTTGCTGTGCAAATGTTCTCTCCAGAATATCTTCTCTGAATTAGTGAAATCTTAAGGAATATTAAAGATAAGCTTTTTAACATACATCTGTGCACATTTACAAGGTGGGACATGTGTAGAAATCTCTTGAATTTTCGATTCTGGGGCAATAAGTGTGATAATGTGAGGCTAAAAATCAGTACCATTTATATCCAAATATATATATAATACACACACACACACACACACACACACACACACACACATAGATGCATGTAGGATTGGTTTAGTTAAACTGTATGTTTTGTTTTAAAAAGAATTGAAAAGACTGTTAAAATTTTAAAGGTTTAGCAGCAGCCATAGAGGACACTGTGGCTTCTTCCTTGCTACTTTTGGATCATCCCTTGAGGAATTCTAGCTGTTTAGTCATAATCATGCTTGAGAAGCCCCATGGAAAAACCCATGGGGCAAAGCATTTTTTTGTTCAAATACTCCTGATGAAGAGTGTAAAGACACTCAGATTCCTGACCCATTGCATGAGATCTATTTCCCTATGGAATTTTACACAGGTTGAGCATCCCTTGTCCAAAATGTTTGGGACCAG